TCTACCACTTGAGCCACAGCGCCACTTCCGGCTTTTTTCTTTTTGCTTATGTGGTGCTGAGGAATCGAACCCAGGGCCTCTGGCATGCAAGGCAAGCGCTCTACCACTGAGCCACCTTCCCAGCCCAAACATTGGTTCTTTAGTCTGTCACTGCCTGACTCCTGCCTGCACTCTGCGAATCAAAAGCCTTACAAGTCATGGGCCTCTGCAGAGCACCCAGAGCTGGCAAGGAATTGTAATTATCCCAGATCAATGTCTGCGCTGACCTCGCTCTCCTGGAGGGCAGCCTTGCTTCTCTCCCTCAGGGAGACTCGGCCTGGCTCCAGGCCTGTGTGGCCTCCTCACCTTGTTCAAGAAGGACCATCTTCTCAGATTCGGACATTCACTGGGTGGTTGGCAAGATTATCTATTGCCATCCTTTTCCATTTTACAGCTTCCAAAAGACAGAGCAACTCCTAAGAACCATTCCCCCTTGGATATTTTTTAAAATAATATGGGCAGGTGGCGTTGAAGTAGGTAAGCAACCATTACCTGGAAGATTCGGTCACATCCACCCACATGTACTTTGTTCACAAAAATGTTCGGCACGGTTTTCTGATTAGTAATTTCCAACAGCATCTCTTGAACATTGGCTCCATCATCTACAAACAAAGAACTCCATAAAGAACTGCTACGCCCAGCCTCCATGAGCTCAACCCAGTGTCACCACGCTGCCTGCCGTGAGTGCCAGCCTGTGTGAGCCGGGTGGACTGTCTGTGGGTGCCCACCAGCAAGAAGCCTGGATGCTTTGTAACCTTGCCAGACAGGATTTATAATTATGTTTTATAACATAAAACCAGTCCTTTTTAAATAAGCCCTCTGAATCAGCTTGGAAAATAATACAATGACTGCCAAAAAAAAGAGCAATTATAAAGATGAAAGATAATCCCGTAAGTCTCAATGACTATATGTAAAGATTCTTTATGAACATAGTCCAAAATTTATCCTCTATCACTGAAAATAAAACTAGGTCATGACTACTAAAGACTTCCTTGTTTGGAATACTCTAGAGAAACATCTGGTGGATGGGGATGGAAGGACAATGGAAGGACAGAGGTGACACTGTCCAAACACAAATGCACTCATTACCTACATGTAGCTGCAACTCCTCTGTGCATCACCTTTATAATGACAATTTGACAAAGATTTGTTTTGTTTCCTATGACAATTTGGCTGAAAATGAGACAGAGCCAGGGAGACAGAGAATTGTGACGACACACTCCACCCCACATGTACAGCACTGTTCAGTAGCAGGCAGGGGGAGGGGTCACAGAGATCTAGATTCTAAAGCCTCGAAGGTGGCGTTCTCCCCTCCTTTTGGGCAGCATGTTTGGGAAGCAGGAGCTGACTCTTCTGTTTGCCCGCCTATTTTGCTAGAGAGTTGGCAGCTATACCTGAAACTCCCCCAAAGACTTCAAAAGTAGCAGCTTCTACATCTTCCCCTACTCCCTCCCTCAAATACAAAAATGAATAAATAAAATCTACATCAATTATGTCATGTAAATGTTCGTTTCTGCACAGTTGAATTTTTTTCTCTTTTTTTTTTTTTGCCAATCCTGGGGCTTGAAATTTGGGTCTGGGCACTGTCTTTGAGCTCCTTTTTGCTCAAGGCTAGTACTCTTACTACTTGAGTGACAGCTCCACGTCCAGCTTTTATCTGGTGTTTAATTGGAGGTAAGGGTCTTACAGCCTTTCCTGCCCAGGCTGATCCTCAGATCTCAGCCTCTGGAGAAGCTAGGATTACAGGCAGGAGCCACCAGCACCCAGCTCTGCATGGTTGAATATGGATAAAAATGGACTATCTAACGCAAGGAGACAAGAGTAAACTGAGTTGAATAAAGTAAGTGAGAAGAAGCTGATGTTGTTGGCATTTTATCATGAACAATAAATGTCTACCTACCGACTTGATCAAGTTCCAAGATATTATAGTCAACTCCCAGAGAAGCAAAGAGCTCTTTAACCTGTAACAAAAATATAGCTGAGTTTCAGTCTTACAAAAGGTGCAGCCTCGTTATGAAATGAGGCCACAGTCATTACAAGATGCCAAAATAAATGTTCTTTACAAATAAGAGTTCTGCTTGACATATGTCTTGCCTTCATTTTATTGTCATCTGTCTAAGACTCCCCAATGTACAGTGTTGTCCAAATCTCTCTCTCTCTCTTTCTCTTTTTTTTTGTCAGCTGTGGGGCTTGAACTCTGGGCCTGGGCGCTGTCTCTCAGCTCTTCAGCTCAAGGGGAGCACTCTACCACTTGAGCTACAGCGCCACTTCCAGTTTTCTGGTGGTTTTTGGATATAAGCCAGCCTGGGCTGGCTTTGAACTGTGATCCTCAGATCTCAGCCTCCTGAGTAGCTAGGATTATAGGCATGAGCCACCGGTGCCTGGCTCCAGATCTCTTTTCTTTTCCCCACAAACACCAGGCCCCAGATACAGCTGTCTTTCTCACATTAGTTCCTCGTGTATTTCCTTTCAGCTGCCATTAACTACCCCCATTGCCTGTCTGTCCCACATCTAGGGTGGGAAATCTGCAGCAGAACACAAACTCCTCCCTCTAGGGAAGTTGCCCATCAAGAAACCCCAGAGAAATGGAGGTGTGGCTCAAAGAGCAAAGCTGGTACTGTGCTAGCTGTGCGGCCTAGTGTTCAGGTCCAGTATCAGCAGGAAAAAACAACACAATTTACGCCTCTTTATACTGTCAGAGATAATTTTTAAAATCAATTTAGAAAGAGAAATTTGAGAGCCTTGCTGCTCAGAGGGTAGCAGTGGGACCTAAGCAAACTTCCCTGTAGCCTGTAGCTCCTCAGGCAACAGCTTCCAGTCTGGACTTGCAACTCCATCCCTCCCATCACAGCCATTACTAAGTCTTAATTCTCCATGCTCAACCCGTTTAGCCTTCCCGTCCCCCAGTGCTGTGATCTGAATTTAAGCCACCAGTATTTATTTATTACTGGAATTTCTTAGTGGCATCACTAGATTTCTCTTTGCATCAACTTTGTGTCCCTCTAACTCCAGTTCCCATAATTACAGCAAAGGGGGCTCCCAGAACAGGCTTCATTTGTCATGGGTTTCAGCATAATGGAAAAAAGGAAAAGGAGAGCTATGAGGGAGGTTGAAGACAGTCAAGGCATTTCCTACACAGGCATGAACACAGGGAAGGAGGAGAGCGGGTGATGCTGCATCACAGACTGAGACAGCAATGACCCTCCTCGCTTCCCTCAGATTCTTTATGTTCCGCCCAACCATCATCTCCTACCTCAGCTCAAACAAGCTCCATTCATGAGGAAAAAAGCATTTGGACAGTGGTTAAAGCTAGGGAGAAGACACTCCAGGAGGTGCCCAAGGTACTAGCCTTATTTCATTGACTTTTAAAATGAACACACGCCAACGCATGCATATCAATGATCTTGACATGTGTGCATGTGAACACCGCAATGAGCAAAGAACCCGCACGCTAAGCCAGCTGGGAAAGGACGGCCCGCCATTCTGCCCCGGACTCGACCGCGCAGGTTTGGTTCGGCAGCCTTGGTCGGAGCCGGTCCTGCCCGGCGGAGGCCTCCGCCTCGCCCACGGCGGCGCCGCCGGTGACCCACGCCCCGAGCTTCCACACGTCTGGTTTTCAGCTAGCGGCATCCAGGAAGCAGGGCGGGCCCGCGCCCGGCGGGCCCGCGGCGCCCCACACGGCCCCCCGCCCAGCGGCTCCCTTCTACAGCGGCTCAATTAAACCCACCTCCGGGTGAGATGCGGGAACTCGGCCCGCAAGTCCAGTCCGGCGCGCCGCGCCGCGCACGGGTCCCCACTAAGCGGTTGAACCAGCAGACATCGGGGTGCCGCCGGCGGGCTGCGGGCCTCGATCCGTGGACAGGCCCAAGCAGCGGGGATGTGCGAGAGGCGGGAGCCCGCACCCAGCCGTGTCTCAACCTCCACTGAACCACCGCGTCCGGACCACCGAACGCTCTCGGGCGGGACTCCCGGGAAGCCCCGCGAAAGGACCAGCCTGGCCCCGCCCCCTCCGCCGCGCAGGCCCCGCCCCATCACTATCGGCCCCCCTCAGCCCCGCCCCCGCAGCAGC